GATACCAATTAAGCAAATTTGCTAAAAATTGATTTTTGCCCGGACTTTGCCTTTGAGTTGGCCTGAAAAGCGGAAAAGGTGTTTATTCTTACTTTGCAAGTCTTAATCCACCAAAAGGCGTTGCTGCAGCGAGCAAGCATGATAGACGTGATTTTCATGCTTGAAAACCCCTCTAGGCCAACGAGCAATTTCGAAACTTCGGGCCCACTCAAAATGCCCACCGTAACCTAGGAAAATTGCGCTATCTTGCAAAATTAATATGCTGCACATGTTCTGCATAATAACCTCCATAAGCGAAAATTCAGGAAAGCCTCTGATTTCGACCTCGTACCGTAACCATGCAGGCAGACTCGTGCGGAAGATTTGTGGTATTCGTGGTCAGCATGTCGATTAACCCCACTGTCAAGGCGTCTATTCGTGCCACTACCGGAGCTTTTGTGGGGTACAAAATATGAGAAATATAGCAAAGCGACCGCTGTTCACAGCGTAGTGACGTGGAGAAAAGGGACAGACTGTAGAATGCATTCGCTCATCAGAGAATCTGCATGATATTTCTTGCAGTTGAGTAGATTTTCCGCTCAGTTTGGTGTGCTTGCAATGCCGAGAAAATGCGATAAATTTGCACGTGAACAGAGAGCCACTCCAGTAATGCCGCCATCTTGCGCGCGCAAGTGGTTGCCATTACAGTCGCTAGCTGTTCACGCGCAAATTTTGCAACATTTTCTCGATACTGCAAGCACACGGCGCCATCTAAATCTACTTAACCGGCTGCGCGGGCGGTCGCGCGCGTGCCATCACTGCGTGCCGGGACCAGCGTCGGCTTCCTGCTAGCATTGATGGTGAGGCTGCGTTCATACTGGTTTCGAAATCCGGGAACAGTTCCAGCACAGGACTCAGTTTGAGCGCTGTGCTGGAACTGTTCCCGGATTTCGAAATCAGTATGAACGCAGCCTGAGAAACCGAGAAACTGTTGCAATGCATAGCAGGTGGGCTTCGCTGTTTGTCTAAGTTGTGCGTGCCAACTTTGAGACTGCACGTATGGTATTTTTGGTGATAGGATGTTGAAAGCTTTCTTCCCAATAAGGTATATGTATACACTTACATTCTTCACATCGTTATCCCACTTAAAACGCTTTGATATCGGTCACACGTATGTCTAGTCGTAAACTTGCTAGAGACAAAGCAGTGCGGAAGTTTGTGAGAACATGAGGATCAGCACGCGACATTGCCCTGTTTCTGCTTCATATTACTTAACCCTCAATGTTTTTCGAAAAGTTTGAGAATGTGAAATTTGCTTTACTCACTTGTTTCTTTTCTCTTCGATGCAGCATTATTTGTAAAGCTAGTCTTGTATGCCAAATTGACCATATCTAACATGATCTCTTAACTTAATTGTAGCCCAATTTTGCATTTTCTTGTTCAACAGAATCACGTTGAGAAAGAAAAAATTAGGATAGAAGACTTGACAGCTCATGTTATCTGACAAGATAAATTTCTTCTTTTTAAGCCAAACAGTCAGTCATCCATGACGAAGTAGCATGGAATCAACTGTGTGATAGTTATTCCAGAATCTTCAAATCTACGATGAATGATATTATCTTCACGAAGACTCACTGACTGTAAAGGCCAAAGCTTAAAAAGAGTTAAGGTTAGATACTAACTGACCCAGAATTCCTTTTTATATCAGTTTTCATCTTGCAAGAGAACATGTTTTGACGAAACTTGGTATACAAAGAGGTTGTACTACAGCAGAGTTTTCGCAGCTCCTACTCAGAACAGTGGAAGATTCCAATAGCAACTTCCATTTCCCTGAATTAGTGGTACATTCGACGAAAACGTTCACGAGTGCGGTGCTGATCTTGTTTTGGGAAAGGTTTTGATCTTTGAAGGAAGAAAGTATCACATTGCGAGTATTCCAATGCGCACCTGTTTTACGCAATTTTCCCACTCATCTCTACCTGAAAAAGTTTCGTGCCAATAGCAATGAAGCTATTGAGCAATAGATAATCATCGTATCGAAGCGAAAATCACTTATACCTCGCAGCAGCTCCTCAAACATCCAAGCAGCAAGCCAAGCCTTTGGTCCCGGCACGCAGCGACGGCGCCCGCGCGACCGCTCGCGCAGCCGGTTAAGTAGATTTAGATGGCGCCCAAGCACACTATATTAACCAAGAAAATCTGCTCGACTGTAGCTTTCCCTTCTAGTCTGCTTTACCTAGAACCAGAGTTGAGGAAGAGGTCAGGCACAAGTCTTTCAAAAGCGACCCCTCCCTTCCTCCCTTGGAATCCCCCAAACGACCCTTCTTCCTCCTCTTCACCTCCGGAACCTCGAAGTGTGACATTCTAAGCGACACGTCTTTTCCCAAAAGTTTCCGAATTTGAAGTCCGTACGCCCGATTTTCGGTGACTACACTTTACAATCATAAGTATTTTGATGGCTGATTTCATGAATGGGCTCATTGAAAGGGCCGGTATTTGGCTTCAAATTTCTTTTGTAGCAACAAAAAGCAGTAAACTCAATAATCGTACCGGATATGGAGCGATTTCTGGGTTTTGAAGACATGTTAAGGGGGTCAGACACAAAGCTAAAAAACCTCAGGCAGCCTGATTTTTTTTTTGAGAGGAGTGCCTGACCCGATTAATTTTATCATAAAGAAGTTGTCCATCCTAGTTTCATGTGATTTGCTAGCACAAACCTCGGAGGTTCTACAGAGGGAGTTTGAGCTTCTTCGACTTGATTCGGATTTGTGGCCATCGGTGGAGTTGAAGCACTCAGTGTGAAAAACACGATGCTAAATTTTGGCAGCACTTCTCAATCCACTAATTGTAAGCGACTTGAAATAATTTCTACCATAGACTGATAGAGAGTATAACTTCATTATGAGTACAAAAAAGCTAACTTCTTTCCTTTTTGTGACCAGTTTAATCATGTTTGAAAATCACGCTTTTCAGACGTTAGGAAACACTATAGGGTGTCCCAAAAAAAATGTGAACACTGTTTGATTGTTAATAACTCCTTTGCTTTCAAGTCTTTCGCCGAGCTTGAGGACATTTTGTAGAGCGAGGTTCAACATAGATTTGCAGTATGGACCAAATCATCACTCACTCCTTATTACTGTAGGATTACGGGATGAACTTTAAGGAGAATAAAAGCAATTTTTGCCTCAGAAAGAAAACCAAACGAGCCAGGAACTCTTGTACTGGACTAATCGAAGTCGCTGATTTTAAAAGTGAATTTGCGCTTCACTGTAACGCTTCTTTCATAAGTTATTTAGGTTTAGGATGACATTTTTCCAAAGTTCGTCAAAAGTGATTACACCATTGAAAGAGCTCTAAAAACCGGTGAAACTGGAATCAGCATGCCTGAAAAGCTTATTACACAAATTTCCAGATTTTTTTTTGGATTTTTTCATCGAAAGGCCTATTCCATAGTAGCGCTTTATGCTAAAAGTTCACACCGTAATCCTACGATAATAAAAAGAGATCGATGATTTGTTCCATACTGTAAATCTAAGTTGAACCTCCCGCTACAGAATGATATCTAAGCAAGGCGAAAGATGTGAAAGCAAAGACTTATTAACGGTATAATCACCGATCTAGAGCTTTTCTTCTTCACCTTACTCGCTTGTAAACAGCATTTCCTCAATTGCTAAAGCAAATTCTTCCCTTATTTACGACCCCTCCCTCGGTCTTACCCCCCCCCCCCCCATACGACCCCCCAGGTTAGGCACGCCTGACCCCACGCTCAACCCTGCCTATAACTCATACTGTACCTTACTATGCCATTCGAAGTGCAAATTGGTACTGCGAACGGCCTGGTAAAATACACTTTACTGTACTGTTCGCTTCAAAGTGAACGCCGTCGTAGCAAATCTTAGAAAAGATTAAAGAATGTACAACAAACCTTTCTCGCGCAGACTGCTTCACCTTCCTCTGAATCGTTCCCCACAAATAGTTGCGCTTTATCTTCAGGTAGGTGAGGATCGAGAAGTTGAAGGAAAAGCGGCAAGGATTCTCCAACAATAGAAATATTCCTGCACTTTCGAGCATATCGTTCCTTCCACGTTGCTGCTACTTTTGGTCTGCATGTCTGACCTGCTGCACGCATATTTGACATGTTGGCAACATGAAACAACATCTTTGCAACATATTAGAACATGCTGGCCACTTTTTAACTTTCGGCCTTGATGTCGACATGTTGCTTATATTGCCAACATGTTAAAGTCGACTGCACGAAATCGCCCGGGTCGCTGGAGGCTGAGCGCACGCGAGCGTCCTGCAACGCGACTGCCGAGTACGGGCGCTATGATGACTCATGCGCGCGTACAGTCAATGTCAATTACGTACTCCCTTTCGCATGGGAACTACCCATGTGCAACGCAAGGGCCTGCGTGCGGACCTCCAATCGATTAGGCCCATTTGAATGCCCGAGTCATACGCGCACGAACGTGACGCGAAGCTCATCGCGTTTACGGAAAAAGGAGCACGTGATTGATACGGACTGTATGCCTACATATGTTAGCCAGCAAGAGACACGCGCGCGGGGGTAAATCCGGGCGATTCCGTGCAGTCAACTATAACCACGCGTGTCGCAATTCAGAGACGCACACCAAGATTAGCAGCAACTTTGGAAAGGACGATAGAGCGGTTTCCTCACTCTCCGTTAAACGAATGAGCCTTGGGTTTGAATTTATTAACCCTTCATGATTTCTAAATAAATCGAAACGGTAAGTCATCTTATCTCATTATTAGGAGATTTCTTTCTTCAGTTGTAAAGGCAGTATTATGACAACTTGTTGCCTTCCGTCGCTCGGACTCTTCGCACTTACACGTGAAGGGACATGAGCCTGGAGCCAGACTTTGCCAGTTCTGTATCTGGACTTCCTGGCTAGATCTAGCCAGTTTGTTCCTCTCAGATATGTAAAGAGGCATATAATCGCCGCCATCCATAAGCGTTCATCTCCTATATATATACGTATAATTAGGTTAGCAGAGTGACAAGAGCTGTTCACTTTTATTCCGTAGTCGACATATCACAGATTTGATATGCCAAGTATGCCAAGCAACTCTGCAAATTTCAAAACAAAATGAATCACGAGCAATTAATGCAAAATGAGCAAACATCGGCCTTTCCCAATCAAGAACGGCAACCAGAACATACCTATGTGAGAACAAGAGGATTAGATCAAACTGCAGTCAAAAACTGATGGACGGAGTGGTCGGCACATGACAACTCCGCTGCTTAAAATCACATATCAAAGATATCCAAGGTAACAACAAACTCTAAACACAAACACAGGTAAGGAAACAATCACTGAAATATAACCGTATAGTTGAATGAGATGGCCAGTGGCTCGGGTTCAAAAAGGACAAAAATTGATAAGTAATATACAACTCAACTAAACTCTAAGTTAGTAAGTTGCGACGCCTAGACATGCATCTCTTCAACATCTCTTCAAAGCGAACGGTATCATGGAGGTAGGACATGTTGAACGGCGGGAGAAGCTACTTCGTCTTAACCGGAAGAGAGACTAGTTTTTGACTATAGCAACACATCTCGACACATTCAGTCAAATGCCCACGTGGTGCCCATCACCCGTAAAATGATGTAACCGGCAAATTCGCTACGCTAACTGTTCTATTCGACAAATCAAAAAACGAAAAGGAAACTATCCCAGTCACTTATCCGACATCAAAAAATCATGCATTATTATGATTACTAGCGTTTAGCAAACACCTGATAAGAGATCTCTCAAGCCAACTTGGGTGTCAAGTAGTATTGAGCTGCTAGTGTGTCTTCTTCTTCGACCTTTTTCCATGCTTTCCTTCTTTCTCATGTTTGTTTTCATCCTTCTTTTCTTTCTCCTCCTCTTCATGATGCTCATGATGGCGATGATGACCGTTCAGCCAACGCGGCATTATTAGTCTCAGTGGCATTTCGAACTCATTGGGAACCTAAAAATTTATTTTCCATACAGTGAATACTACCCAATGTCCTAACCTTTCCCATACTACCAGCTTCGAAGAACCACCCAAGAGGGAACCACAACCGTATTCGATCGTCAGTCGCAGTCAGATTGGCATGATTGTAGGCATAAGCGTGGTAATAGAGAAACATGCGAGACGAGATGTAGAAAGCTTAAACTAAAATCTAGACGAGGAGTTAGTTGTTCGCAGCAAAGTCTACTTACCGCAGATGTACGCACCATTCTCGATAAACTCGCCCGCACGCCAAATGACAATAAGGACGAGTTTTCTAGAAATGGCGCGCTTCACTGCAGTGAACATATCCCCCCAACACTCAACAGCCTGTCATTCTATACACAGGGGCTTTCAATTCGAGTGCCATAAGCCGCTTCGGCTGAGTTACTCGACGCATTTGCGAACGTGTCTCAGGGCATTTTTCTAAGCACTTCAACCGCTGATGAAAGATACGGTATCCCAAGCTTCAGCATGAGAAAAACCGTACGCTGAGAGCAAACGCGGCGACAAGCCCAAACGAGACGGCTCGAGAGAACCCGAGCAGCGCCTACCCTGACACTCAGATTGAAAGCCCCTGTACTGGAACTTTAACCAACGCTAGCAAGAATTCGTGACTAAACACTTTTCAACATCACATATTGCTCGATGATGTGTGAAGTTCAGAGAACTTCAGCTGCATCTCTACACAACTCTTCAAACTGCGGAGTGGCTGCGACCAATAACATTTTAATTAGTTTACATAAAACAAAACTCACCTATAAAAACATCAATGGAATAATGTTCATGTCCCGCAAGTATGAAGAAGACTCCAAAGAGATTCAACACCCAGGTTGTAGTGTGGAGAAAAGTCCACGAAGGAGGTGTATCTGGATTATACGCATTGAATTCGCAAAGATTCAGTTCATTTCCTCCAAGGTAAGAACATCCCACTGAGACTTACACTCCGTAATCAAGTGGTTTAGCAGCGTGATCGCAGTAGTGTGCCCGCTGAACATGTAATCACCACAAGTTCTCACACCCTGTCGAAAGAAAAAAATGCACTTAATCATTCAAAAAATTACAAGTTCGGGATAGATGCACGCTACCTGTATCGAAAGTCCCAGATGAGACCAAATATGAAACGCCTGGATCAGTTTGTCCACAAGACTCCCGTAACTCTTGAAAGAAACACTTCGAATAAAATGAAATGGAATACATATGCTATAAGAATAATAATTATTAAAATACAGAAAGCAGACTAAAATTCCGATTCAAAACGTAAGAAGACTTTTGACACCACTATCAATGAGACTACTTTGCACTATGGCCGATGACGGTAAAGAATATAACAGAGGTTAGGTGAAAAACGTTTCTTTCCATGCGTATGCCTCATTTCTTTGCCCACGCTCTAGCGCTCCATGTTCATCTTTACATGGGCTACAAGAGCAACACTCGGTTGAAATAAGTGCAACAATGACGATGTACAGAAAAGAAGCTGAAAGTAAAACAGCTGCTTACTTTTGCCTGACACTCCAAATGTACCCCAGGTACCGACAAAGATGTGATCATCATAGTGACGCACCTTAGTAGAAACACGGTGCCCACTAACGAGAACATTCGACGCATGATGATTACCCTAAAAAAACAGTTGCAGAAGGAAGATGGAAAATCCCACTATCGCTATCTTATAACGTTAACTCAGCTTCAGCTTAGCTCGCAAACATTTTATCAGCAAAAGGCCAAAAACTACTGCATCGGCACAGCAATTAAGACCTTGACATACTTTGCCTACCTATGTTTGTGGAAAATGACTATGGTGAACCATATAACACTGAGAGCTACGCCAATCATTTCGCACATTTCGAATGCCCATGGAATCAAAGGCAAATTATCAAGTACGATGTCGGGAAGAGGCGGATATGTTTTCATATCTGCAAGAAGTCGTTTGAGTTTTTTGCCCTACCATACTATAGTCCAGTCACTTACAAAAGAAGAACAGATACCTCAATTAGGCACCTCCCTCACGGACTGCTGGTCCTCTCGATTTACTATACACAATGTGAGGACCAGTGGTCGAAGGAGGAGGTGCCTAATAGAAAAATTTGTTCCTCTACCCAATCATTTTATGACTACAGTCGAGTAGATTTTCCGCTTAATATAGTGTGCTTACACTGAAGGTGAAATGCGGTAAAATTTGCGCGTAAAAAAATAGCTACGCCTGTAACGCCGGCCATTTGCGCGCGCAAAATGTTGGCATTACTGGCGTGGCTATTTGGTCACGCGTAAATTTTACCGCATTTCACCTTTAGTGCAAGCACACTATATTAAGGGGAAAATCTGCTTCGCTGTATGTGTTATTGCACATATTGTCCGCCTTTGCCGTCCTCATCCTGAAGCAAACAACCCTCCAAGTCAGTGTTTTCAACGTTCCTTTGTGTTTTCTTCCCTTTCAAGGAACGTTTAATAAGTGATGTAAACAGCAAAAATTGGTCAGTTTCTTTTGTGACTGGAAATCCAGAATGAGGGCGGCATAGTGCACATTGTGTCCAACGACAAAATGGTCATACGAATTGACTACACTGTATGTATAGTACTTACCTGGGACGCGATCATGGACCAGAACCATCACGAATGCTGTTATAAGCAGCGAAGTCAAACAGTAAAGGAAGGCTATGAACAACTTGACAAGACTTTTTGCCTTTGTGTCGGGGCTTTCCACTGTACGAATGAGCTAAACGATAATATTTCAATGGACTACATCGCGAAGGTAGAGTAAGCGTTTTCGTGCCCTACTCAATGGAAAGAAGTGGAATCTGCGGGAGCGCACCTCATCTCTGGATATTAGTCGGATAGAGTGGATATCACCGGAATTTGATAGTGTCTCTACAAGGGAGTCCTCGCTGAAAGATAGGTGACTAAGCGCTTGAAAGATATCAGAAGTGAAAGTAGTCAAAAATGCAGAAGAAAGTAACTGCCAAGGATGAAGGTTGCGTTAGGGTGACGCTAGATTTTGTCAGAAAGCGCGAGAAAGCACTAAAACGTCCCTTTTCAGCTAGAGGTCTCCTAAAAGTCTAAAGGAACCCTTTTGAGGCAGCGTACTCTCCGCGGATCATAAGGGGGTAATCGACACATTCACTACGAAGACCCATGTGAGTCGTATGTTTTGTGAACCTTTGCAAGTCTACGATAAAACTCATGATTTCGTAGATATTCAAAGACATCTAGATGGAGCTCTAATCAGAAGACTACAACTTCGGGCAACGCTATACGCTCCGAAACGGCAGAAATCAAAAACAGCCTGGTCTTCAATATGTTAACAAGAGGGACATTGAATTGCATCTTCTAAGGGATTCCAGTCTCCATACACCGTTGCTAAAAGGAGGCAATCGGTTGACAAATCAGTGAAATTTGATGTAAATACCGCTTTCACATCCCTCCGCTGCGACAACTCCTCTTCAACGCGGTGCACTGGCACCTCTACTAGCGGCATTCGCCTTGTTTGTTCTGCAAACACTCGTCACCTTCAGATTTGTGAGCCTTACTTGAGCGCTGGCTTTAGTCACTGACGCAACCATATATACATACAGTCAAGTAGATTTTCCGCTTACAGTGCATTTTTTGGCATCGCAAGCACACTATAATAGGCAGTCGACTGTACAAGATGTGACTGATGCAGCGAGCAATACTTCAGTTGCTGCTTTCTGAACCTGATTCCACTTAGCCATCCACAGGAAGACGTTGCACACTGCAATGCATATGCATTGACTAGCCGAGATGCCATCCCGGTAAACCTTTGCGACAGCGTCGGAAAGGGTGCATAATGATGCTTCGTTTTTCTTTATATATACCACTTTTTATTCCCATAAACCAAGCGGAATACAGAGCGAAAATCAAAAATGGACGTGTTTTCTACGGAAACTGTGTAGAACGGAACCGTCCAGTTTGTTCACGAGTTATTAGTTATTCTACTGATTCATACTTTCCTCTGTGATTTACCCGAAATGGGTCTCCGGTTTCGTCGATATACAATGCCTAGGCTAATTGAAAGCGGTATCATAATTTCCCATAATCCGATTTGATCGAAATTTCGTAGGGCAAGCGGCTGCAACTCTGAAGCGGTCGCAAGCAAAGTCAGCAAAACCGCATGCGACGAGTGTCATGCAAATCAAAAGTTCAATGGCTCCATCCTGGAGGGGAAGGAAAATTTGCAAGCTTACTATTCTGAGCATTTTGTCATGCAGTACGCCCGTCCTCCGAAACAACTCAAAGATTCTCGTTGGATGTTTGCAAGTGCGCGAGAGGGGGTTTCATACGACGGAGTAAATCCGTTCCATCCATTACCCTAGATGTCACCTTTACTATTATTACCCAGCCAAACATATCTAAGATTTTCTCAGCATCACCAAAATAAAGTGATCCCTAGTGAAGGGATGGAAAACTCCCACTGCGACTAAGGGATGACCATGCCTTAGCAAACACTGAAATAAGTGGGATACGTACGCTCATCATATCAGCAAAAAAAGCACAAAACAAATAAATAAAGAAGAACTTCGATTCGCTGTTCTTGTGCATCAACACTCACATGATTGCTTTTTCCTTCGTTCGTACAATCACGTCCTCACCCGATATTGACATCTTCTTTCTTTTGTCATATTCAACACATAATAGTAAATCATCTTGCGATGCTGATTCTGACACCCGTGGAGAAGTCGGCATAGAAAAGTGAGACTGTAATCAAAAATGGAAGTATTGTAAATTAACCACAACAAAAAATGATAACTTACAGTTTTCAAATCGTATATTGCTCTTCCGAGCCTTTTGATGTCACCTAAGCATTTTATTTGCAACGGAGGATCTCGCAGGTCGAGTTCCGACAACATAAGAAGGGTTGCGCCATCGATCTGGAAATGGTAAACACTTTTGAAAACGAAAAACTCAACAGCCAGTAGTGGAATGTAACGGCTGTAAAAAACCTAAAAAGTAAGACCTGACGTAGGACGTGAGAAGAGGTGCGAGTCTGCACGTCCCACCCTCATCATCTCAAAGGATAGCGGAAGACAGCAACTATAGGAAAAAAAACTTATATGTGCTATAACTTCTAACATTTATTCACTTAAGCAGCTCTCACTTTGTCGAAAAAAAGCAATCATAGGCACGAAACCCCAGTTATTGCACACCATCCTCATAATATCCCTCCTTATACATATCACACACTGTAAAGCATGGTATGGAAAAATGGAGAATCGTGGGAGGAAAAGTGCCTAAACTACAATCGCGGGTTCCATTATAGAGAACGAACTAGTTTACAGCAAAAATTACCAAGCTCCTCTAAACAACTTCTTCGCTCCTAATGACTATGAAAATGACTGAAATTACGAAAAGCATGACAGCCACAGGGATTATGAGCTCGCGCTGATGCTGCCGATGAAAAACGAGGGTGGACAAGCCTCACTAGTTCATTTCTTACCAAAAGTCAAGTTCACCTTTTCAATTAAGAAAAAGTATATCTATCATCCAATCAGCCATTCCTATACTTTATTGAACCGGTTTAGTACGCCTTGAGAAACAAGGTAACGCATTCAAAATATCAACGAGAATACAAGTTATTGCTTGTTCAAATACCCAACGAAGACACCGCCCAGGTTTATGCTCAAAACCACTTGACAAGTCGTTTCAGCCAAGAACCGATAAAACGTCTCTGTGATTATTTTATAATCGAATTTCTACAATAATCCCCTCATTCCAATAACACTTTTCGCAACGCTCTTTGATGTTTCGCTCTATGAAGCATAAGCGAAGAGCAACGTCTTTTAGGTGGAATTTCAAACAAGAATTACTATTTGCACGAAAATTGTTGCGTAGTTGCTTCTCGAAAGTGCAACTTGCTAACGTGTCCTTGTTACAAGAGCATAGTGCTCCCAATAATGTACTACCCTTCGGTAATCAAGTCAGAAAGTTAACATAAAATGCATAAAAGCCAAAACGAACAAGAAACATAAATTCCTTACCTTATGCTGCTCCGCAAAGAGATCAGCATATTGTTGGAATCCCGCATTTTGTAACCATATTGCCACGTCTTTGGTTGTCCATTCAAAGACTTCTGAAGGCATCGCGGCATCGCCGCCGTTCGCCACGAGAGGCGAACGTATCACCTTCCGTACCATTACCTACCTATCCTGAATGGTTCAGTACCTCGCAAAATGTGAGACGTGGACGCAGAAATTCAGCGGCGACCAACATACAAATGCGGAAGAAAAAAGCAGAGGATTTGTAATTAGCATATGACCAATGATTTCAATTATCACAAAGCTACTTTTACTAAAACTTGGTTTTCTTAGCGGATAAAGAATCGATAGCTGCGAAACGCGTGAAGTGAAATGAACAGGAAGAGAGACCGGGAAACGACACAGGACTAGGAAAAAGTAGACAGCAGCTAGCTAGGTGCAAATTACGTTGCGATATGAAAAAGTAGCGCAAGCCAAAACCTCTTCAAAGCGAGTTATCGAATTTCGAGGAACCGCGACAACCAAGTTAAAACAGATCGATGCCTGGAAACAGAATGTATCAGAGACAAGCGAGTTTCAAAAGTGACATCAGGAGGAAGAAGCGACGAAAGTCTGCTGCACCGAAGCAAAATACCTAATATCTGGGAGGACGATCTTCTGCTGTGCATGAGAAGAAAATGAAAATGAAAGGTCGTATAAGTGTTGGCAGCCCTGGCTGCGGAGCGCACTATAGTACAATCAAAGAGCAAGTGATCGAACAACACATTGCGAACAACTACATTCACCTAGAATCAAACGCGACACAGTTTGAATCCACATTATGCGTGTCTAGCACAAGAAGTCTTCATTTCCGTCGCAGCTGATTCTGAAACGTGACAAGTGCTGTGCCGATGATGAAACTGTTATGCCGGTGACCCGCTATGACATTCAAGCTGTGTAAGGATGAGGTCGAAGTTGCTGATAATCCAACTCCGAACCTGGATCTCATGAAGAGCTGAACGAACTCCAGATGAAATTAGTCGCACGCGGTCCGTCATTTTTGTTAGCGGCAGGTCGCGCACACGTCCCCTGGACCACCCCTTCCCCTCCCCCCCCCCCCTGCGCACGTTTTTTCTTTTAACAATTCATTTGTAGTCCACATCATCTCTGCAGCCTTACAGACAGACGTATTGAAGGAGTTCTCGTTTGAAGTGCGTATCGTCGATTCGTTCACCGCATGGACTGGACATCCTTGCGGAGCAGGTGCCGCGAGGGAAAACGTTGCCCCAAAATCGTCATTGTACAAGTCCTCTCGCAAAATTTCAGCCGTTTAAGCAGTCCGTGCGGCGAAGGGATCGACGACACACCCATTTTTCTGTGAATGCACAAGTATGCGACAGAATTCGACTATGAATTTCACTTCTTTGTGTAAAGTGTAGCATCCTTAAAGACCCCACCCTATGATTATAACCAGGGTCAAGCAAGGGGTGTGGCACACGATCGCTGGTTACGACCCCCCCCCCCTGATTGCTGTCTTAATAAGACCCCCCCCCCTGAACTATATACCTAAGATAGCATTACCAGAGTTGAGAAAGAGGTCAGGCACAAGTCTTTGGAAAACAACCCCCCCCCCCCTCCCATGAAAGCCCTCAAACGACCCCTTCTTCCTCCTCTTAACCTCTGGACCTCAAAGTGTGACATTCTGGAGGACACCAGCTTCTTCTAGACAGTTTTCAGATTTCTGAGAGCTGTACGCCCGATTGTGACTGCACTTTACAAACACGTAATTTGACGGCTGATTTTGATCTGAATGGGCATATTGAAAGGGCCATAATTTGCTTATGGGTGGGGCGTTCGGCTCCAAATTTCCAGTGTAGCAAGAAGAAGCTATGTGCTCAATACTCATACCAGCAATGGAGCGCTTTCTGGATTTTTTAGGCAAGTTAAGGGGGTGCGGCACACCCCCTTAAAAGCTGCGGCAGCCGCAGCTTTTAGGGGGGTGTGCCGCACTCCATTAACTATATCAAAAAACATTTTTAGCGGACACTATTTATATGAATCGATAGCCTAAACCTTGTAGATTCCATAGGACTGTTTGGAGCCTGATTTGTCTTCTTAGCTTTAAGTAATATTTGGTGAAAGCACAGCGATCAAAAGCGAAAAATGGGAAAAACGAGATTTTGGTTGGCTTCTAATTTCACAGTTTGCAGGTCTTCTGAAGCGGGATTCGTGATGTGCCGACAATGTCGGCACTTCCTAACAACCGTATCTCTACTGTTACCGAAGTACCTCACAGGTCATGCCATAAGCATGACCTGCTGTGATAGTTTGTTATGTTACTCTACCACGCCTATTATCGTTAGCATTCTACCACTGCGCCCATGAGCGCACGTCGTCTGTCTCAATAAAGCTACCTACAGCTTATGTGTTCTATATAACACACAAAAGGCGCTATTCGCCTTAGGCTATTATAAAGCCTAGAGCCACTGTTACATTTGGTGCATCGGCCAAACACGACCGATATCATGCCCCGCTTCCAAGAAGGACAGCGGAAGCCACAAGAAAGTGATGCGGCTCTTCATCTTATCATAAAGGACCTGAAGACGTACACCAAGAATCTCGCGGGCATACTGCGGAAATACCAGCACTATGGTGAGAAAATTACTCTTCCAGATGACCAACAAGAACGACAGGAGTTCTGCCTACACCATCTGGACCTACTACCAATATGCATCATGGAAAACAAAACCGGCAAAAGCCAGCTGGAATCAAAAATTGACGTCATGAGGAAGCACTACAAGGAAAGCTCCGAAATGATGAGACAAGCCATGGCATAAGAAATGGACGCGCTCCAAGAACAGATAAGATTTTTTCGAATAGCCGGCAATGCTCAAATGTTTACGTTTGAGCTAGAAATGCTCGCTACAGATATTGAAATAGAACTGGCCGCAATAGGAAGTAGAAGAAGATTTGCAACAAAAAATCAAGGTAGCATTAGGAAGGTTCTACACAGACACATACTGCATGCCGGATTTCCATATGCTGAAGAAAAAGCAAGTCACACTGCAAACGATAAGCCAGACGAGCATATTAACAATGACGAGGAGATTAGTGAAAATGATGGATATCGCGAGTTCGAGGTTGAAGACAGTGATGTACTACCAGCTGTTGCAGATGAGAGCCTGACCTTTGCACAGGTCACACTACCAGGATTGCCTCTGGCAAAGGCATGCAATAATACCAGTGAAGAACGCCAACTTCAGAAGTTACGATCATATAAGAACGATGAGAAGAGAGGAATTTATGAACTTCATCCAGTACCAGTGCCAGTGAAGATCAGTTTAATAACACTTTCCATTGGCCTGCACTACAATTTAGATCTATCTACTTCACTTTTTGGCAGCCGCTACACAAGAAGGATCCCTGTGTTCAGTCGCGTCCCGGTGCAACGACGACCATTACGAGACCCAGACAAAGGCACCGCTTCATGGATAAATGTTGCTGCATTACTAAATCTGCATCACTTTTCAATTCATTTGTCCAATCCTCTTGCCGGGCGGAGTGTGCCGGTATAACCGACCCCCTTTCTATCGCACAGATATATGTTGTACTTCTAATTCACGTGAGGTGAACAAAGAAGGAGTAGTGCTTTGTCTTAAGTGCAAAAACGGATAGCTAATTCACCTTTGAAACAAAGTTAACCATGTTGGAATTTGACCATTTCATTTAGGTAGCCTAATATCTTGAATCTTCAGAATTCGCTCACACTTTGTCTACAGGGGTTGATTGACATGCTAAGTATGGATATGATACAAATATCATGTTATCACTATTATCAGATTACCCAACTACGACCCCCTCCCCCTTTGACTCCTCAATACGACCCCCCAAGTGTGGCGTGCCGTACCTCACGCTTGACCCTGATTATAACTCCTGCGATCTCCCGAAACTTTGCACAAGCGATTACTGCCATTCTGATCATGAAAAATAGTTATTTCGCATGCTACGGTCTTCCCCAATCCTAATTAGGCCAAAATTGGCATGGCGGGAGCCCGCGTCGCCAGGGTTTTGCGTCATGCCTACGGCGTGCGTGTCTGCCCTCTTCGGTAGGTGCCAGACTAAGCGACTATTTTGTTCAGCTGCACAAGGCGCGCGAATTAATGTCTGCTGCATAGTCTGCTGCTTCAAAGGCCTGCTTCAACTGCAGGTCCCGCGCAGAATTAACGTTAATTCTGTGCGCCTTTTGCAGCTGAACAAAACATTCGCTTAGACTGGCAACCTACCTTCGCACTTTCCGGCACTGCACATGAGCGGCGCGGGATACGGGTCAGCAGTCACGATTTTTCGCGCGGTACAAGCATCAGCTCTCGTCAGTACTCCTGCCGCAATGTTTGTTGATCATGGCATCGAGTCATGTATCTGCCGCCATTCCCTCCCCCCCCCCCCCCCCTCCCTACTGTGGCGCCGTGCCATTTTAGCACCGAGAGTTTTTGTGAGGCATAAAATTGGGCGCGGCGAGAGGCCGCCGCGCGCGGTGGTGTAACTCCTGACCCGGAACCAGCGGCGCGAACCCCTAGCGCCGCGAGCGCGTGGGTGAAGGAACGATACCTCAATAGGCAGCGCCTTCGCCGACTATCGGTCAGCACGATGCGCAACACTAGGATCACCAGCAGCCCGCGGAGGCGTTGCCTAATTGAAGTGTTCGTTTCTCAACCCCGAGCGCGCAGTTCACCTCAACGTTCGGCCTGATCCCGATTGGGGCAGACTGTAGAGCTTTTTCAGGAGGTTGGAGTAGACACACGTATGGGGTCAACATCTCAGAAACGGATGCTCGTCATTGACACAGAGTCTGCCACGGCCGTTGGCCGTATCGCGGCATCAGTATCATCGAGTCATCGACAACGGACTGGGAGATTGTGGAGCACGCTCCGCGTGGAACGGCTGTATATTACGATCGCTGCTGTACAAGTCGTGTTCTCGTGTGATTTCAGCTGCGCTGCGCATACTCCGCATGTTTCACTCAAGTATTTATGAGATATACGTGATACTGAAGGCAGGGTCGTCAGAAGAGACATCGCGGAACCGCTTGGCGGTATTGGGTATACTGTGCGAGACTCTTGGGTAATTGTACCCGAGTTAAACTTACTTTTTGGTGGTTCAGTGGATTCTTCGAGGCAAACAGACAGTTGAGAGCGAGAGGTTTATTGGGGTGGTTATCGCCAAAGTAGAGTAACAACTGGAGGGGGCCAAAGCC